AGAGAACAAAGAAAACAAAGGGAACTGATGAATTCATGACATCCCAACAATTGATCTAATCTACAGAAGTAGCAGGAAATACAAAGAGAAAATAGGCATGCAAATAAGTGGATAAACAGCGTCACCTGCCTGTGAACAGGACCAGATCCGGCTGCATTATCACACAAAAAAAAAAAATACTGAATACAAGAAGAGATATAAAAGCATTTTGAGTAATATTATGTGCAGGATTCATGGAATAGAATCTAAAAAATTTAATGCCCACCAGAAAGCATTTCTAAAATGTAAAATCTTTGTCATTTTCTTCTTTACAATCACTGAGAACTCTCTAATACAATTCTTCGAGAGTAGTGAAAACTAGATAGAAGCCTTTCTTTTCCCTAATGTCTTCTAACCAAACAAATAGCTTCGACAACCAACCTTCCAGACATAAATTTCAGTAAGTTCAAAGATTTAACAAAATGACAAGAAAACTAGAGAATATATATATACACACACACACTAACGTTTCTCTATTTTTAGCACACAGAATAAGCATTCATAATCGAATAGTTGCCCTTAAAATAAATTCATCCATGCAACGAAAAATAAAAAAGTTGGAGGAAGAAAACGAAATTGGCAATAAACTACCTTCAATAGTTGAAGCGCCTTTGAATCTTCTTCCAGACTCCAATCATCATGCTTCAAAAAACCCGAATTTAATAAAAATTAAACAAATTACATCAACTAAAATTTCACTTCACATCACTTCTCTTATACTAATCATTAATCCTACTATAGCTTAAGAAAACACAAATTAATCATATTTTGTATGTAGAATACAATTTTGCCCATAAATAGGGAAACATGTACACGTACACATATAACTAAAGTATAAGAATGCGTGACTGTTCTGCTGGAGAGAGAGAAAATAAGGGCTTACAACGTCCCCAACGACAGCTATTCGGACGGAGCTAGCCATGGATAAGTGGCTTCTGTTGAGTTTAGACTGCTGATGAGAGAAAATAGTGAGAAATACCTGGTTGACCGTTGACCTCGTTGATCGGGTAAAAAAAGGCAAAAAAAAAAAAAAAAAACCTTAAAATTTCAGTATTTTTTCATTTTTACCCACTTGAAAGAGAGTTGAAAAAAGGGGCAAAAAAAAATTGTTCACCGACTTCCAGGCTACAAGGAGGACTACAAAATCGACGACCCAGACCGGAATCGTCATTTATCTTGAATAAGGTGAGTTTTGAAAACCATTATATGTTATTTTACAAAGCATTATTGAAATCATTGAATAAATAAAACATGTTGTCGAATTTTTGTTGATTATTTTCGAAAAATTGTTGTAGAATCAATTATTAATTGATGAAATGTAATTTGAATGAGAATTAGGGGTTGGAGATCACGATCTCCATGAAGGAGACGGGCGACGCCCAGAAATCTGGGCCCTAGACTTCTGGGGACTTCTGAGGATCCAGAAGTTTGGGTGTTCTGGGCCCAGTTATTATTATTTTTTTTTTTTCAATTTTATACAATTAAGATTTTTATTTTAAATTGCATATTTAATTTGATAATAAAGAATAAAATAATCGATTTAAAATATATATTTTAAACGACTTATTGAAATTGTTTATAAACAATTTAAAATAATTTATTACATTTAATTTCTATTTTTTGATAGAATGTCTAATATTTAGATACAAAAAAAAGTTTATTTAAATTTGAAATATTATTTAA